TTTGGAAAGAGGAGAGCACGTAGGGGCTAGCACAGACGTGTCAGCCAATGCAGGGTCCCTTCACTGGGCTGTCTTGTAACTGCAATGGTTTAATGTAAGAACGCAGTCAGGCACCTGACGGGAGAGATCAAACAGCTGGTTTATGGATCTCCAGAGTGAAGTTCAGCGTGACAGCTAGATCCCACGTGCATCGCCCCTGTCCTCTAAGCGAATGTGGCCTGGAACTTGGCAAGGCTAACACAGAGTTCAGGATATTTCACACTCCTGTGTCTGGATGGAGAGAGAGATTCCAGACCGGGCGCTCCTAGGGAAACCTAGGGGATCCGGGGGGACCTGTCCGTACAACTAGGCAGCGTACACAGAGGGTCAGGCTGATGCAGCCAGCCCCATTTCCGCCCCACCATCACCGCTGGAGCCCAATTCCCCCAATCGCTCTGTGTGGCTGCAGCAGGCTGCCCTAGCCAAAGGCGCCTGATCTGACAGAGCAGTGTCAAAAGAAGACATGACTCTAAAGAAACAATGACTGGTCAGAGGGACAGGGCATAAGGACGCCTTTCCAGGAGAGACAATCTCCTCTCTCTCCGTGACTCTATTTCTTCTGCACCCCGATGCTTCCACCCAGGTGGCTCTGGGAGAAGCAACGACTCATAGGAATGTAACTGTCAGACTCAAACACACTCCTAAAAAAGGCGACACCAGACCAGCATCCCGGGCTCGTTCCGTGCTACTCTGGGAACTAGGAGGCGAGTCAAGGCCAGGCTAACTCCCCCGCGTGTTCTTTGCTTGTCTGAGAACCAAGCGCTTTCCCGAGCTGCTGCCCGTGGCGCTGGCTTGCAACCAGGGACCCACACGTGCTCCCACCTGAACACAGCCCCTCCGCCCAGCAGCGGCCCGGAGAGACGGGCAGGTGCTGCCCTTGTCACAGGAAAGACGCGAGGCGCTGGGTTGCCTGACAATTGGCTTCTCTCCCTCTCCTGTGCGGGCACAGCCACACCAACTACAAGATCGGCCAGGGGCACGTGCTTTGCAGGGCTGCACGGAAAGGCGCAGGGCTGGAGCCTAACCCCTTCCCCGGCAGTCAATGGGGGTTTTGCCCCAGGAGGGGCTGGAGAGTGAAGACTCCATCATCCTATTTCCAGCCTTGATCCTTCCCCGAGCTCCCGGCGGGCGGTGAGACCCCGCACAACACGAGCGCCGGGAGAGGTCCCCCGTGTCAGGGTGTAGCTGACAGTGGGGGGCCACAACAGATGTATAAATCCTGTCCAGACAGTCTTATAAACTCCTGGGGAAGGACTGACAGCAGATTGGCGGGGATCCGGATCCGGATCGGTTCAGTACCAGGACAGGGTCCTTGCTGACAATGTTCCCCCAGAGCTGGCCCCTTCCTGCTCACGGAGGGGATCCAAGCTCAGGAATGGGCCCGTGGTTCCCCTCAGCGCATCAGCCTCCACTGGGCTGTTGCACTTCGCAGCCACGTCCTCATTGCGGGTGCTAGCTCAGGGGAGAGAGAGGAAAAGGATAAGGCAGGGCTTTGCCCTCCCCTGTCCATCCAACAGGGCAGGGTCTAGGGAAGGCAGGTTGTGTAGTTGGATGTGGGCTATGGGTTTTTTTAAGAGCGGGTCACTTGGTCCTGCAAACAATCGCCCTGTTCACCGCTATGGAAGCCGTGTGTCGAAGCAACCGCAGCTCCCCCAGCGGGGGTGTCACCGTGTGGAAGAGCTCACCGGATGTCAAAGGAGAGAAAACTCAGTCTCAGTGGGGGGCAGGCTGCTGGTTATACCTGTTGGGGCTCCCCCGGGCAGCCAGTCGTGCTCAGGAACCCCATCCTACAGTGTCATGCAGGGATCGACACGGATCTGTGCCGACTTCTCTCTCGTGAGAGCAGGATCGGGGCCTCGGGTGGCGGAGAGAGTCCCGGACCCCTGTTACACTTGCTAGGTGTAGCTGCGAAACACCTTTGGGGGCAGCTCCTCAGATGGTGGGAATGGACAGAGCTGAAGTCAATGCCAATTCACACCAGCTGAGCGATCAGACCCGCCAAAGGGGGAGGGGGATACCCAAACCCAAGCGCCTTAAAGTGCAGCCCTGCTCGCAAGAGAGCGCCCAGTAACGCGTACTGATTATTGTCTAGCTGCGGTAAAAAAACAACCCACCATCCCCAGCATTAAGTGTAATTCACAGCTGCTTGGAGGCAACCCCCGCTAGTGTTGGGGAAGAGGAGAGAGAGATTTAGGAGCTGAACTGCCCAGGTGAGGTTTTTTTCATGGCTCTGGGACAGACTGAGTGGCGCCCCCAGACCCCGTTGTCCTAATCCCCGCCACCCCCACTTCCCTTTTGATTTGTAGGATATTTTCTGATCCTAGACATGTGAGGCATTCGCTACAGGAGCAGGTCACTGGAAGGAGGGTGGGGTGGACTGGGGGGGTCAGGGGACATGCCTTCCAATTAAGGTGAAAGGGAAAGACACCAGGAGCCTTTTGCCAAAAGGAGAGATAAGCGGGGGGAAGAAACACTCGTGGTGTTTAGACTTTAAGGAGTGAAACTCTCTGATCTCGCTTCAAGTCTGGGTGGGAAGTGAAGTTGGAGGGGCATGCGCTGAAAGAAGAGCAAATGCAAAAGAGATTCTCCTTCAATTAGACAAGTTGCCCCCAATAAACCAAGTAACATACAAGCCCCATCTTTCTTTTGAATCTAAGACATGCCCTTGGACTGAGGTTACAAAGAGCCAGCATCAGCCATTGCTGAGCGGAGTGGAAAACAACGCAAATCAGGTGATGTGCCCTACCGATCGATCCTGGTTCATTCCACGCAAGCTGCCCAGTGAAACTGAAAATCCTTCAACGCGGAGCGAGATTCACCCGGTATTCGCTCCGAATCACAAGTCACTTCAAACAGAAAGGCTTGTGTGCAGAACAGCGCGCCCCTTGCCTTTTAAACAAGCGAGAACTGGAGCAGCAGGACGAGTGTCCCGAGCTGAAAATGCACAAAACAATCCTAATGTGTGCCTCCCACGAGACGATATTTCCAGACTATCTGTGCCTGCTCTATCTAGAGCTCAAATGGGTCCCTATTGGTTCCCTAATGCCACCTAACCCCCTCCCCCCCCAAATTCAAATCCAAATCTACACTAGCCCCATGGAGTATGTTGTCGCTCCACACTGAAAGACTTTGCAGGTTCCTGGAAAGGACTGTACACTTTTAAAACCTTTCCCAGGCTTTCCAAACCAACAGCCAGGGGACACACTGTACCTCGATTCGCTTCCCTCTTCCTGCGTAAATTAAGTGGAAGGGAAACAAACGGGAAAGATGGCTTCAGGAAACACTTCATTTCAAACATTCGCTAGCCAAGTCTTGCTAAACCCCGAAATGCGCCCTCTCTTTTGCTATGTCGGCCTTCAATGAGACAAGGAGCATACATAATCCTATTTCTCCTTTCTTTTGTACAGAAAAGCATTTCAACCATTTTTAAAGGATAACATAGGAACCTTTTCCCCAGCCCCCGAGCAGTGATCAAATACCAGTTAAATAAACGGGAACCAACATTTCCCCAACAGGGGAAAGCCCCAGAGAAATAATTACCTTTCTACCTGTTTAGAGTGAATTCTCTGTCTTTTTCACAGGGTGTCGATCTCAGGTGCCTAATGCGACCTACAAGCGAGGTTAATTTCCGCAGGTAACCCTGGAGAGAAAATCAAGACAAAAGGCTTGCTGGGAGGGAAGAGTGGTGGGATGGAGGAGAGCAGAGGCTGGACGAGGTATGTGTGAGGATACAGCTAAAGCAGCCCCATCAGCGGAAAGGGGAGCTCCTGGTTTTGCGGGGAGGAGATGCATGACACTTAAGAGAAGCCGCTCAAAGGGTTAAACAAACAACAGGCTTAATGGGAAAATATTTATCTTATGTTCAATGCATGTAGCCACGTCTCAAGGAGTTTGTATTTGTGTGTGTCGAGTATTTTTATGTCCTTCAAAGACGCCTTTCCCCCTTTCGTAAGAAGCCTTTTCTCTCCTAGAATAAGTTCACATATATTCTCTCGTACCTCAGCCGAACTCCAATGGCAGGGGGAATATGGGATCATCCACGGGTTTCAAGATCTCAGCAATTTATATCGTCTGCTTCTCCTCAGCTCCTGAATACATTGCACACCACCAAGCGGGCGCCTGGTCACAGATAAAGGTGTAAAGCATTTTTTCCAAGTAACAACTATTTTAATTTGTAGAGAAACAAATTGCTTGGCAGTGACTAAAGATTTGTGGTTTGAATTTCAAATGGATCACCTGGCACAAAGTTATTAGAGCCTTTCCACACTGACCCTGGCTTGTAATTTGCTTTAACAATTTTGTTGATAAAGAATTTATTTAAGATTTCAAACTCATCTTTGCCCCACTCATGAGTGACTCTCAGATAGGGACTTTCACAGCAATCAAGCTGTATAAATCTGATGGAAGATGGGATGGAGTCTGAGCAGAGTGGGAGTCTGTTATTATCATTATTAAGGGAATACAATCAAATAAGTGGTAGTAATAATTCTGCCCTTGTCCCTACTGATTTTCATCTCATAATCTCAAAGAATTTTGCAAACATTATTGTAACTTTCCACTCTCCCGGTGAGATAGGTAAGTACTATTGTACCCATGCTCCAGCCAGGAAAACTGAGGTACAGAAAGGTGAAAATTATCACCCCCATTCTACAGATAGGGACACTGAGGAGGATTAGACTCTGGGAGCTGCTGAGCCCCTCAACTTTGAGTAAAGTCATTGGGAGACATGGGCATGCAGCTCTTCTCAGTAGATGCTCAACATTGTGTAGGATTTGGCCCAGGCAGCTAAAGGGACTGATCCTGGTCCACCGAGGTCAATAGGAGTTCTGCCATTAATTTCAAGGGGAGCAGGATTGGGCCTTGGCCCTGCAAGCACTTAGACATGTGAAAACTCAAGGGGACCTTTCTCTTGTGGCTAATGGTACCTCTAGGTATAAGGGCTTGCAGGGTTGGAGCCTTAAGGGCAGAGCAAGTTACTGACAAAGCTAGAAATAGAATCCGTGAGCCTGCGCTCAACCCCCTCCTCTCCATCTGCCCACTCTCCACCTTCCACCTGCGTGCAAGTGTGTGTGTGTGGTGGGGAATATTTCATGCTAACAAAATGGAAAATACCAGACTTGTATCTGTTGAACCCTTCAGCTGGTGCTCCGGATCCTCCGGCTGCCCCCTTTGCCTGGCAGAGGCCAGCCCAGCGAGGCAGGGAGTTGTGGTTGAATGCTAAGCTCACTTTTCGTGCTGTCCCACTTACATTTGGTTTCCACCCTGCATAGTCTCCTCCCCCAGCCCAAAGGCAATAAATGAAATGAAACAAAAAAAGAGGCTATTTTGGTATATTAGCCTCCTTGTGGCCAGGTGAAAGGTTAAATTCACATGATTCATTGGAGGCTGAGAGACAGCACTTTGTTGCTAGGATTTTGGGGAATGCGGAGGGCTCCAGCGAAGGAGTCTGAGTAATCTTTAAGGGAGAGAGCCAGGCTCCTGTCTGACGGCTGCAGGCCCAGCAGTTCTGTGTTTCATTTCAGACTGTCACTCTCCTATCTCTCAGCTCACTCCCAGCTCCAGCTTGCTGCCAGATCTGGGGAACTGTTAACTCAGACAAATTTATAGATGGAAAAAGAACAGTTAGCCATTGTTCAGTGGGGCGGGGGTGGGGGAGAGAGCAGGGCTTCAGCCATCTAAGTCATGATGTAACATGGTTATTACATGGCCCCGGGGAGACGTGCCAAGGGTCTTTCTCCTCCCTGCCCCATCAGGGAAGCTGTCACCATTGCACAGCTCCTAAAAATGGGACTTGGGCTTCAAAGCCACTTAGGCGCTTTGGAAAATTCTGTTGTAAGTGACCAGTTTCTCCTCACCTGGCATCTTGGGGACTGGACTCAGTGTTGCCGATTCTCACCAGTTTTATCATGAGGCTTGTGATTTTTTTCTTAAAGCCTCAGTCACTGGAGTCATGTGATTACCCCAGAATCCCACCTTTCATGGAAACAAAAGGTAAGTTTCTAGCCAGAATTGTTACAGAGAACAGCTTGACGGTGTGATACAGGCTCAAACACTAGAAGGCAAATTTAAAGACCCCAACAGGCAGGGTAGGTTAGTGGTTATATCACTGGACCAGGAGACCTGGGTTATATTTCCAGCTCTTCCCCTCCTGCTGGGTGACCTTGGGCAAGTCACTTCACCCCTCTGTACCTCAGTTTCTCCACCTGTAAAATAGGGATAGTGATACAAACCTCTTTGTAAAGGACTTTGAGAACTGCTGATGAAGTGCATAATATATTATTATTTTTTAAAGGTCTTATGATTTTTGGGGAGCCTGATTCATGATTTATGAACAGTTGGGCTTGGCAATGCTAGGATAGATCCAAGGCTAATGGGGGACATTTTGGGAGTCTTGTGTTGGACTATTTGCCTTGTGTCTCTGCCCCTTACTCTTGTTTGCATTTACCAGCCTCTTAGGTGAAAAGACGTTTCTAATTCTAAACTCAATCAGGTGTCTGGAAAATGGAGCTACATTTCCCCCTCTTCTTTTCACATCATCTCCAGCCATATAAGGTTCGTGTATTCTTAACACAGTTGCCCATGTGAAGGGTCTGGCTTCACCGCTTAACATGGGTGATTGACAGTCAACTTGGCCTATCTCAGTGCGAACATTAGCACAGCATGTTACTGGGTATTCACTGGTTCTGCACTCAACCTGGGTGTGTCTGAGGGCATATCCCATAATTTTTTGTGCCAAGATGCTCTAGGATTCTTTCCCAGTCAATTGTGTCAATTGCAGAGAACTTGTCTGTCCTGCAGGGGGATTATGGGAAGGCACTGGAGGACTGTCAACACTCAAGTGATTTAGCCGGCGTCTGCACTGTGAAATGGACAGGTTCCAGCCCAAATTAAGCTGGAGACTGGGTTCTAACAGCCCAGCTGGGTAAGCTAGTCTGGGCTTAAAGTACCTAGAAACCTGGGCCGCTAGTTTGGGCTAATTCTTCTTCCAAATTTATGGTGACTCGGCACTGCTGAGAGCTGCAGAAACCTATATTCAGCCGTAAACTAAGCAGCTATGACTCTGAAGACACAGAAGGAGAAATTAAGTCCGCTCCCATTTTTACCATCACTTTCCTCAGCACATTTTAACTGCAGTGTAGCTGGACACATGCATGTTCACATTATAAAACCTGTCAGCTGTGATAGTAACGGTCATTCATTATCTAAGAATCCATTCCTAAGAGAACTCATTGAATCAAAGCACTGACATTGCACAGACACACACACCCACATGAATGTATCCAGGTCTGAGTTCAAATCTGGTGCAAGGCCACTGATGTTAATGAAGATACACCCCAGAGATGAATTTCAGCAACGTCTTTACCGTGGGCTAATTTTCAGTCTGCACCTCTCTCCTCATTTCACATAGATAGAAATAATTTTCCATGAGGGAGAAGTGGCACCCCGACGCCTCCTGAGCAAGATAGCGATGATGAGATAAATATTCAGTGCAGCCACCCCTAGCCATTGTAGCGAAATGGAACATTCTTTGCATTACTTGGCCAGATGATTTTTATACCATCATGTCTAACATGCTTTTCTGCCTTAGGTCCTTTACCTACATTCTCAGACGAATGGTTTTATTTCTCAATTTCTCCAACACATCTCAGCTCCTCTGGCTTTGTCCGGCACACCCTCCAACCACATCTCTAAACCGTTCTCATGGCCTCACTACAGCTCTTTGGCTGCATCTCTCACCTGACCTAACCTCATTTTTCAGTCCCTCACCATTGACATCCCAACCTCAGTGACTGCATTTTTCCTTTGGCAGAAAAGTCTAGCTTCCAGGAGTTTGAACAGACTCCCCTGGAGTGAGAACAGTTTGGGATGGCTATTCCATCTATACCAATGATCTAAGTCTCTCTGGCTAGCCAGAGGAATATTTCATCATGCAATGTGTTGTCTTAGCCTCTTCTAGGCAAGCCATTGTTTTAGTGAAAACAATTTCATTCTGTCCCAAACTCTCAAGAGTGCACATACTAAACTATGTTCACACAAGTCAAGGATTCATGCCCATGGGACTGGCACTCTGTTGGCTGACACACGGGGGTATTGAAAAGGGGAATTCCAGCCATTAAAGCTTGAGGTGCTACAGTTTACGCTAAAAAGCCAGGGCTCTGTAACTGGGGACTGTAAGAACTCATAGTCCATGCAGATCAGACTAGAGGAGGACTTGTAAAACACACTGCCAGAGGGTTTCTCACACACACACACACTTTGTGCACATGCTCTGGGCACTGGTTGCACACAAGTCAGGAGTGTGCAAAAGTAAACATGTACCTTTGAACAACTGGAGCCCATAGTGGGAGGTTCACTGTAGATGGAACTGCACTTTGCACGCTGTGCATTGACACAATCCTGGATTTTCATTATTTCACTACAAGTAGAGTTTCAGTACCTGAGTGCGGTATCTGGGTTCACCATAAGTGTGTTCCACACACAGATCTAGGTGTGTATAGGAACAAGTAGGGCTGATCTGGTTGAGCTGCTGCGTATGGTCATGTGGGAGACCTTGGTTCGCTTCTGGGTCCTGCTCCATTTGCTTCCACAATTTGAAAGGCCTGGGAACACTGAGAGGGAACATCCTGTCTTACTCAGCAATCCTCTCTCTCTCCAGCTAACGGACAAGCCGTGGTGGTTGGTTCCGAGGGGAGATTCCGCCCAACCCTTTTCATTCAGAAGGATGCTAGCTTGCTGCGACAGGGTGACGCACTAGTATGCGTGTCAAGGGGGAGGCGAGTGTAAAAGACAGGAAAATTGTGAGATGCTTTGGGACACAAAAGACCCTAAAAACAAATGCATAAAGTAGAAGAACCACGTTCTTCTCACAGCTACACTGGTGCCAGCCAGGTGGCTTCAGTGGAGCTGCATAAGTGCAAGTGAGAGGAGAATTTGGGTGGCTAGCTGTAAATATGCACAAGGCCTTCATGTTGCTAAATACATTTTGAAAGTGATTTCTCTTATTGCAGATGAGTCCTTTCAGGGCCAGACAGGAAGCAGAACTTACCTTGTTTAGATAAACCAGCTGAACGAGATAAAGTCTAATGACATTTTAATCCTCCAACACATTTGATATTCAGAAGCAGTGGATAGAGCATTGGACTAGGATTGAACGCATTGAGTTCTAGTCACAACTCTGCTACTGATTTACTGCGTGATCTTGGGCAAGTCACCTCACCTTTCCGTGGCTCGATTTCTCCACACCCTTCGTCTGTGATGTTGTAAGTTCTCCAAGGCAGGGGCTGTCTCTCATTGTGTTTGTACAGCACCCCCTAGCATAGCGGGGCTCTGTTCTCAGCAGGGGGAGTCTAGGTGCTACCATAATACAACTGCTAAATAATAAACATTTGTCATGACAGAATGAGGATCCTCCCTGAAGAAAAGCCCAGCCTTCTATTTTAAAAACTACAAAAGTCTTCCTACTGCTTATGCATCCCCACAGCCTCATAGGGTTAGAAGGGACCTCAGGAGGTCATCTAGTCCACCCACCTGCTCAAAGCAGGACCAATCTGCAGACAGATTTTTACCCCAGATCCCTAAGTGACCCCCTTAAGGATTGAACTCACAACCCTAGGTTTAGGAGGCCAATGCTCAAACCACTGAGCTATCCTTCCCCCACTCACAGCCAATTAGTCCAGCGCTCACCCATTTAGAGTAGCAAACGGTGTAACCAGCACACTAATGCCAAATACCACTCACTGTGGCAGATGCCAATGTTTTAACGGTGACCCTTACATGTACGAGGCATGGGTTCCAATAGAGAAACAATTCTGTTTATAGGTTCAAATCCAGACCCTAGCCAGGGCTGTGCATAGGGGAAAGAATCTTCTTCCAGGCCATAGAGGTGCTCCCTGATTGCAACTGCAGCCGTGAAGCTGCAATAGCCGATGTGGATCTAATCCAACCATCTATGGTTGGGAAGAGGATGGAAATATCAACCCGAACAGCAGATCCGCATGCCGACATGCACAGATCCACCATGGAGCTGAGCTTTATGGGGCATAAGGTGGACACATACCTTAGGTGACTGTCCCTAAATCCTGCTTCCTCTATGTGTAGTGGAGCCACTAATTTGGTGGCCAGGGGCACTCTGTGGCTGTGGAGGAAGGGCCAGGAACTGGCGCTTAATGGACAACTTTTAACATCCAATAACTCGCTTCTGCAATTCCACAGAGCCAAACTGAAGAGAGTCATGTGTCATTAAGGGCCATTGGAACTACCCATGAACATGCACAAGTGTTTGTAGGACCCTAATTCTGTTTCTCATGAAGGGAAAGAAAGTTAGTAACCTGTTTGTTCCATCCCACTTTAACTGGACCAGGCTTTGCTTTCAGCAGCCAAAACCCTCGGCCAGGTATTCAAAAATCTTCAGCTCAACATTTGGTTGGCCAATCATTTCTAAGAGCAAGGTGTTGGGGTCACTTGTGCCAGAACCTTACGCTAATCTGCATACAATCATTACTATGAGTTGAAGTTGAGGTCACCAATGAATAGTATGTTTTAAGAGCTTGTTGATCAAACAGAATTTACAGACCAGGACAGTTATTGACAGGGCTGACAAACGTGATGTTGCAATGATTTACAGTCCAGGTGTGTGTTGTCAGAACAAGATATTTACCTGAGATTCCAAGAACAGTTAAATGTTAATCTTTAAAGACCTTTCCTAACTAGGGCTTTTCTGCAATGTCTTGGGAGGTTCGCAACTTCTGGTCCATTTGCAAATAATCAGAGAAACGATCCTGAGTTTAAGAACCTTCAGGGGAAAATAATAGCAGATGTAGTCATTTACAATGTTTTTAATGGATATGAAACTTGTAAGGTGAATTGACAGAGGTGGCCTTACTCTCATTCCAAAAGTATAATTCGCCATCACGCACTGCCTAGAATATATACACATTAATCAGGATTATCTCTGAACATCTAGCAGGCTGAGAATATGGATCCTGGAGACGTCAGCAAGAGATTTCATTAGAAGAGACAGCAAGTGCTTGGAAATGGGAAATGTATTCTATTATAAACACAGCCTGCACTGAGGCTGACCCTAAGACTGCACAGAATTGGCTGGAAAGACAAAGAAAGCTGAAAATGAAAACTCTGTTCATATGTAACAGATTTCATTTATTGTAACAAAATCCGGCTTAAAAGTCTCCTGTAGTTTTTCTTAACGTTCAGAATGGCAAGAACCCTTACTCTGAATATTCAATATTTATCTCTGCTGATGTGCAGAAGCTTGCTACATGATCAGAGCATTAACAAATTTCCTGTCACATATTGCAGAATATTTATTACTAGCTCCTAGGCCTTACTAGATACTTCAGTTTTGCAAAACATGCCGTGGATGAGATTTTATATTTACAGTTAAAAGATCCACTCTGAGAATATTTAGGGATTTTGTGCTGATTTTTTCTTTGTTATCAATCCTTCCTTGATGTTATCTAATTTGCCTACTGGGTAAAATTTAAAAGAACTCCTAACAGTCAGTATGAAAAGAACCCAGCAGGCTAACATTGACTCGGTCCTCAGATCTATTAGCTGTAAATTACTTTAACATGAGTGACATCACACTTGACTCTTGGTAAAACAGTGTTAAGTTAGTGGGTAATAAAACAGCTTGACACTAATGATGGGTTCTGGGTGATAAATTACTGTCAGTGATCAGATAAGGGTTCCTGAGACTAACCTTGAACTAAATCTGGTTTGTTGCTACATCTTGTGTGCAGTGTTCGAACTGGGAAGATGAAGGGCGAAGGGCCCAATCCTGATCACCTCTCACAGACGTGGTCTTAATGTTCAGAGTAGACCTACTCTCAATAGTCTTACTTTTGCAAGTAATGATTACTCATGTAAGGAAACATTTGCAGGAGCACTTCCCATCCCAAACACTGGGGATACTCATATGAGTAAAGCAAGGAGGAATTGGCCCTAAACTTGAAACCATCAGCCCAGTTCTGCAGTCCTTATGCTATAGACTCCAATGTAGGAGCTTTGCTTGAATAAGTACTCATATTATTTATATTTTAAAAAACAATATTCAAAATAGGGGCCTGATTCTGCAAGTTGCTGAGCCCTTACGGGGGGTTGCTGAGTATTTTCAACTCCCATTTATTGGTGCAGGAAGTGTTGGATGAAATTCCATGGCCTCTGTTACACAGGAGAACTGACCAGAAATCTATGAATCCCAGAGAGGTCAATAAGAATTGAAGGCACTCAGCACTTTGCAGGATTGGCCCCTAATTCACTAGGCTTGTTTTCCTTACAGAGATTTGGGGAAAACTCTGTATACCGAGTTCTGAGCCAGCCAATGTCAATGAAACCACATGAGATTTGGAATGTTTTTGACATCTATTTTCTTTGGAAACTAACCAAGGTGTTCTTAGGAAACAGCTTCACAAATTGTTTTACATTATTATTGTTATTGAATGCTTGATTTTAATGTACCATTCAGGTAACATGCTCTGTAGATGGTCTGTGTATTAGTTCTTATATAAACTACTGTATTAAAACATTCACCTTAGTTAAATTTCGTGCTTAATGTATTATTGTTCCAGCCCTTTATTATGACTGGTATAATCCAGAGAGACTAGGTGGATGTGGTAATATCTTTTACTGAATCAACTTCTGTTGGTGAAAGAGACAAGCTTTTGATCTTACACAGAGCTCTTCTTCAGGTATAATCCAGGGATACTTGTATCCTTCTCATGTTATAAAAGATTGTAGATTTCAATAAAGAGTAATCCTCCATATAGAAATCCACATACTTTCTTAATCTAGGATAGACCCAAACTGTATTTTAAGACATGCCAGTTTTAACACAGGCAATAATGAATTTATAATTCTGAAAATTACTAGTGCAATGTGTAGATTTTTACCTCAGCGCCACATTGCTTTGAAAATTAAAACGTGGGAACACCTTATCCTATCAAGAATGAAAATTATGTCGTTCATTAAGAATAGTCAGATGAAGGAGGCTTTAGCACAGCCTGCTTCTCTTATAGTTTGCATCATCTACGTCTGGCAAATAATATCTGGGTTATTGAAATTTGAACTGCAGTACGTTTGAGACAACTCGTGTGTTCCCATTTTTAGCTCTTTGCTATTAGAGCCCTTCGGACTTGGGACTCAGAAACCGAGGCACCCAAAGTCAGAGGCCACTTTTGAAAATATTAACTAAAATCTAGAAATAAATATATTTAGGCTTGGAAAGATTACATTTTTATCAGTAAAGTCGGTAAACGTCGATTTTGCCAGACACCTACAAACTGAAAAAAATATTTTCATTGATAATCATCTAAATTTACTGAGAGGCAACGGAAGAAAAATGCTGCTTGAGAACTTTTTAGAGTTTGATTTAAGGATAGTTCCTTTGCGTATTTTAACATGTGATGTTGATCACGTGTGTTGTAATGGTTATAAAGCTTTAACTTTTTGAATCTCAATATCTACAGTCATTAAATAATTATTGCATGACCTCCCCATAATTTCCCACAACGGAGACAATTTAAATCACATAATTTTGCCCAACTGTGAAAATTTAAAAATGGAAAAAAAAAGCTTAAAATAAAAATTGATATTAGCCAGTGAAATTATATAAAACAATTAAATTCTATGAAACCTAAATATACTTTTTATAGTCCAGATGCTGGTTAGTTCTCCATTAGCAGCATTTTTGAGAAAGATGATAACAAGGTCCAAACAGTGCTCGGATCTGGATCCTAAACCCAGGATTGATAGTCTACAGGCCCTCCTAAATTGAGCCATTGAGGTACATTGTGGGCCAGCTGAATACATGTTCTCACATGCTCTTACTAAACAAAGAAAGATGGACCTGAAACAAAAAAACCTTGCTCTGAATACCCTTGAACTTCGGGATATTTGAAATTATCTTAAGAGGTGAAATCAGCAGCTTGGGCCGGTCTCTATCAGAGACTTCCTCATAGTGGCTCTGGTTCTGGCATTGCATAAGAGCAACATTTTGGCGGATCTGTAGATACAGCTACAGCTTTGAAATTTCTACTATATTCTGCCCTTTGATTTGCCCAGCTCGGCTATGGGCAGAGGGTTCATATTCCTTCTTCTGACAAACAAGCCCATAAACATGTCACACATATGCTCACAAACATGTCTAGGCTTAAATGGTTTTGTCTATGTTGTGCCTTCCTTGTCATTGCTTTACCAGACATAACACAGACTGACAGAACAGAGTCACTGTGATTAGCATGGGAAGGAAGCAAACAATCTCTGGCTGCAACTACAGTCTCCAAAGAGCTTATCAAACATATGCATGAGCAGGAAATGCAAGATGTTGTCCCATTTCTCATATATTCATGACTGTTGCAATCACAGAACACATGTACCCCAGCAATATGCTTGTACCACCAAAAAAATAAGTACTTACATGGACAAATGGAATGATCGGTCCATTGATTTTAATGGACCTACTCATTGTCAGCAAAAATCTGACCCTAGGTAATAGACAGCTCATAAGCATGCTATATAAAAGAAATCTGATCTGTGAGAGGGTGGGAACTGAAATATTGAATTCAAGGCTTTTGAAAGATGCTTATACAGGTGAGTAATCCTTACTCCTATGTGTAGTCAATGTCTCTACTCGTGGGAGTAAGGGTAAAGGTTAGCAGGGCTCAGCCCCTCTTCCTTACACTTTTGCATAAATTAATTCACCAGTTCTTATCAAAGATGATCAAGGTTTCAAAATATTGGTCTGCACAGTTACAAACATGGTGTCCAGAGAATTTAATAATAAAGTATGTACATTCTCACCCAAAGTCTAATATTTTCCTCTAAACCAACAAGCCATACAGTACATGTTGGTAATAAATATCTGTACTTGGTATAATAAAAGCAATGTTTATATTCTTGACAGAATGCATTTGTGAACTTACAGTCATTAGGGATGTAAACTGAAGGCAATAAGATAACCTCTTTCCCAAATGTTCTATTTATTTCTGTAAAGTAATTTGTATGATTTATCTTATAGACTAAGGTTTATGGTTCACTTTGAACTGGAGGTTCTTAACTCAATGATTGCCTGTTTGGGCTGAAGCATGTAAGTGATGGCATGACCTAAAGTGCGAGATGAAAGGAGAAAGACAAAAACAAGGCAGGCTTCTGGGATTTTGACCATTATTTCTATATTCCATTGACATCTCTGGGTTAAATATTTTCTTTTGGAGGCCAGTATGATCATTTCATCTGGATACCATAGATTTTAGCAGCTAGAAAAAGCTTGGAACACTAGCATCTTTAGTAAGATATGCAAGGATGCATACAATAGAATTCAAGGCGGTGAAATGCTAGTTTTAGACATAATTCCCAGTTTTCACATCTCATAAACAGGCCTGCATATATTCTGTGATTCATAGCCTCAGAATTTGTTGTGGAATTCACATATCACTGCATTCACACTTCACTGTAGAATTTCTTCTTTCATTTAAAAAAATAGTTTCTAACTAACATGACTTTGAAGATAACGTTAAAAAACTTGGAGTAGAAATATAAATACAGCTTTATCTTCTTAACTTTGCAGAAAGTCTGATACAATACACCTGAAAGGGTGTGAACTGCCTCATTCATCTGTGGCTGGTTAGCTCTGATAGCTAAAGATGGAAATTAACATATGAAAACATGACGAGAATGTGAAATGAATAGAATATAAAAATAAACAATTGTTGAATTTAATTCAATAAAACCTTCAACTTTGAACATTTATCTGGAGCTGTCACAGAATTTTGACAATTTCCAATGGAGTCCCGTAGATTCTAGGGCCCTTGTTGCAGAATTTGGGATCAGCGTGCTGCCAAATACACAGTGCCTTGGTCAGACCTTTCTAAAGAATTCAGATTAAACGTTCCATGCTTGGTCTCGCAGTCAAAAGGTGAATGGGTGGGATTTTCAAATGTGCTCACCATTGGTTTAACTCAGCTCTGACTGAAGTCAAAGGGAGTTTTACCACTGATTTCAGTGGGAGGAGAGCCAGGGAAAAGCTGAGCCTTTTTGAAAATCCCATGCCATATTTCTGCAGAGCATGCAGAAAATCGCTTCAGCTGTTTCTCAGATATAGGAGAATGAGAAAGAAAAAAAATCTGCCTTAAAAAATATCCACCCACTAATCTCTCTCTTTTTTATGTATATAACCTGGATTAAATAAAGACGGCTGACATTTGAAAGCTGAAGGTTGATATGCCAATAGTCCTCAGTGAGGAGCAGCATCTCAGCTGGGTTTGAAATAAACAACCTGGTTTTGATTAAACAAATCTATAAAGAGTTGAAAGTTATGTGCTGGGCCTGTGCAAAGCAACATTGCATGAAGTCAACACAGCCAGAGATACCCATTGAGCATGTACAGGGTGCTCAGGATTGGAAAGGGGACATTCAATCCTGTGAACATGGCCTAAGCAAGGCCTTGCATTTGCTACTCAAGCCCCATTGAAAGCATGTCTTTAGTGTTTAAGTGGTGCACATAGTTGTTTGAGCTGTCTGTGTGGGGTGAATTTCACCATAAAGGCCAAATCCCCCTGTCAGTCACAACTATGGAACTCCACTGATGTCAGTGGGCGTGATGACTGGAAACCAGAATTTGGTCTGAAGTGAGCACTTTAAATCCAGGCGAAGAAGCAACCGTTGGGCTTTTCTCCTCACTATTGGTTACAATTGTTGGGAGAAATCCCTGTTCTCACATGGAAGTGGGACTTGGCTGCCTCTGCCCTTTCCCCTATTCCTCAGAACAGTGCTTGTGTGCATTCAGGAATCTGCAGAGGAGGAGAGAGGGTGGGGACTAGGATGAGAAGATGCATGTTTCCTCTGACCCAGTGGAGTTTCCTCAGGAGGGGTAATAGAGCCTCATTAAAACACAATCCCTAGAGTTTCAGGACTGTGCCTCCCAGAACGGCCTGGGGCCTCCAGAGATTCAGAAATATGGAGTAGATGACTAGAGATGCACCACCCACCTCCTCTGGCTGGCAATCAGGTGCCAGGCACTGGTTTGACTTTCTCTTTCCACATTGGCAAATAAGTCTCAAAGACAGTTCATAGCCCCTTGTTCCACTGGTGGGTGGATGTCGCTTCCCATTTCATCTCCTGGCCTTAAGAGGGGGTGCACAATTTCTGTTGCCTCTTGGCTTGGCTGGGTGCACATGTCAAGTCTATTCCCTTGACTCTGCTCTGAATACATGTAGCTTTGAGAACTGGCAAGTGGCCAGCTGTACAGATAACGTAAGTGGAAATCACACCTTGCAAACTGGAGTAATTATCCACCCAGAGCAGCAGAGAGAAAAACATTCCACAAAAGAATGAAGAGCACAAAGTAGTACTAGATACATATTGTGAAGTGGATGGATTGTCCTACTTCACCTACAAAGCAATCAGTCAAGTAATGGTGGCTTAACCATTTCTTCGCCCTTCTGGAGACTATTCTGGATATCCAAGGTCCAGTTCAAATGGCTATTTAGCATAATGGAGTTGGAATTGTTGAAAAATATTTCGTCCTAA